ATTTTCTTAATTAAAATACATCTGTATTGCACAAAAAAATGGTTTCAAAGATCACCTCTTTCCTAGTTGAAGTCAGCTAAACATGGCTACCTTATCACACAGGGTCTACCCACCCTTTACAAAAATGACTGGGGTGCCTCAAACTAAATTTCCGATTTGATTTTGAGAAATTCCTTGCACTGGGGGGGCTAGATCAAATCTCAATATGGGAGTAGTTCTGGGGTTCCCTTTTGGAAGGAAGTGCCAAGATCCACCTTTTTTGATTAAATGCTTCTGTTCAAGTGACTGTAGTCATGGCACTGACTCTTGTCACCTGTGAAAACTGTGACATGACAATAGCCTCTGCAGCAGTGAAAAGTAACTGCACGCACATCTGAATTGTCTTGCGACTTGTGCCATTTTGCATTGATGAATTTCCAATGTCCGCAGCATCTGAGGGATACTATGAAGGCTTGATGGATGGATTGGGTTTTACCGATTCTTCTTTACGACTTTCAGTAATCAAGGGGGGAAATGTTGAGCTTGCAGCTGATAATCAGTAACGGATCAAGAAAAGCCTTCAGATTACTATAAATCCTTTCTGGTTGGTGCACCAATATTGTGCTGTTTGGATCATTGTGATCATCACTCTAGATGACTGTGACTGAGACTTGAATGTATTTGAAGTAGATGGTCCATTATTTAGTCCTGCCGCTGTAATGGAATGTGTGGATAACTGAAAGGGCTGGTTACAAGATGGCTCAATATGTATTATAGTGCCGTCGCCCGGTGATGAGGAGGAAGTGCACACAGTTGCTGACGGTATAGCAGTGCTGGCTGGGAGTTGTAGCCGGGGGGAGTCCGGGGGTCCGTAAGATGACCAGCAACTGACCCTACTCATGCAAATAGACCTGTTTCAGCTAAAGTGTTCTCTGAAGCTTAGTGTTCCATAAGTTAAGTGTATAGAGTTCGTTAAAGAGTTACCACCCTAAATCTGTGTACGTGTTCCGTCTGTCCCCTAATGTGTGTGT